TTTATTTATTTATTTAGCTAGCTAGCTAGCCTTTGAGCTATTATTGAGCTAAATAAATTATTTATTTAGCTAGCTAGCCTTTGAGTCAGTGTTGACTCCTGGTGACTGCCTGGACTAATCCCTGCAGTTTTCTTGGCATGTTTTTCGAAAGTGGTTTGCCGTTGCCTGCTTCCTAGGGCTGAGAGAGAGGGACTGGCCCAAGGTCACCCAGCTGGTCTTGTGCCTCAGGCGGGACTAGAACTCCTGGTGCCTTAACCACTACACCAAACTAGGACTGTAGGATTGGCCTGGATTTTACTTTAACTGGGGATGGCTTGCCAAAAACGAGAAGGAGTCTGGTAGCATCTTTTCAGACTAACAGATTTTATTAAAGGACCTAAGCTTTTGTGAGCTGCAGCCCACTTCGACAGAAGTCGGTAATGGAATTGTTAGATGGCCTTTGACTAGGCTGCAAAGCTGAAAAAAAATCCCAGACTAAAGGAATGCCGCTTCTGTAATATTGCTAAGAATACTGTGTGAATGCAATAATCCGAAATCAAACTATCCACATATTTGCCATCCTATCAAAATATTTAATAAAAATGTATATAAAACTATGTAACTTCTAGAGTTTGACACTTTTACAAAGTATTTACAAATTAATCTAGAAAACTGATTTCTTTGGAAACAAAATTGAGCAAAATGACGGGCACTATTTACTTACTCTCAGCAGTATTATTTCTGTGTATTAGCTCCGTTTATCAGACTGATTGGTTAGTTACATTTTCTCAACAAAATTCATTTTGAAAAAGTATGTTTCCACCATGTTAGACATAAGTTCAAAGACAGCTTGTTAAATATTATTCACTGCCTATAACATATCTGCCTGTAGCAGTAAGTTATTTGCATTCAATAACAGTGTAAGGTCATTGTAAGAAATGACAACAGCATTTGGTATATTTTAGCTTAAGTATTTATGCTACAGACCTGCTTAAATATTGATTTGACACAACCAAATGACTTTTATTCTTTCTCAAAAAATCATTTTTAAAAGATAAAATACATAAAAAGACTAATGTATTTTCATAGGCCCAAGCTTAATATTCTAATTATGTTGAAGACTACAGCACTTACACCTTTAGTATACTGAAAGAAAAAGAACTTACAGTCTACATGTCATAAAGCTTAAGTTGTTCTTTGATATCAGTTTCAGACATCTCTCCAAATGTGTCTGATTTTTCCTTTAGAAGGGTGAAGATGGCAGCCAGCTGATCTCTCTGAACCCTGCCAAGAAGAGAACAACAAAAAAGAAAAAAAATGGATATACCATTGTCTGAAAAAAGATTAGTGGAGTTTGCTAAGATAGCTTGTAATATGGGATATTTCCTGTCTGAAATTTAAAAAATGCATGATACTAAGATGTGTGAGTGAAATTCTTCTTTTACAGAGAATGAAAGACTGCACACATTTCATCTGAAATATTGGTTTTTAATCTCCCGTCAGGGTGCTTATTTATAAGCAGGGGATGGTCCCACGTTCTTTTCAGACATATTGTCACTCATGCCAAGCTACCCCTTGATATCATGACTTCCAATATATGTTTTGGATTGTGAGAAATCATGGAAGGCACTAAGACTATTCACCTACAGATTAAATAATTTAAATGGGTGAAAATCTCTACAAGTGGAAAAAAGAGGCCCAACATAGCACATGTTGTGAGCAGGACCATTTTCAAGAACAAGCAACATCTAAGGAATCCAGCATGTTTTGCAATAGTCTAGTTCCCAAATGTACTTCTATTAGATTTCAGCTTTTCTGATACCATTGATATCTACCAATTAATCAGTTGAAATGTGGATATAATTAGAGGTAAATGAAGATGTGTGTACTGTCATTCAGTGAATGTGATCCACATAGAAAATGTGTTGCTCAGAATCTGTCTGAACATGCATCTGTGGACTGGAATATGACATTAGATGGGTCTCGGTTCTGTGTATGTCTGGATTGGTTACCTTATTCACCCTCTTGAGACAGGAGCCTCAGTCCATCTTCTTTTTACTGTTTTAACATTAAATGAAACATTTTTACCCAGGGCTTAGAACGTGTCTCCTTTAATTCTGCTTCCCTTATCTTAAATTTAACAGGGGGATTTTCAGCTTCCTCCATTCTGCCAAAGGTTGCTTGCTTCTGCACTATCTCTGGAGTATAAGTTTGGTATAGTATTCAAGTCTGCTGCTAACGCTGCTGTAGTTTCCTGAATAGACTATGGCATCGTGGGCCCTTTTTTTGCATTCACTAAAATGTGTAGTATGCCCAGATGTTTCTTATCCCACCTCTGCCAGAACTCCATATAACTGAGAGGGCATTTTTACAGTTTCTAAAGTTTTTGGGGGCCACTGCTCCCTTCCAAGCTCTCCTTCCTACTTCCATGCTGACCATTGCTGGTTCTTATATACCTGGTCTCAAAAAGCATAGGTGTTAAATTGCAGGTGCTCCTAGGATTTTTTCTAAATGCCTACGTGCCTTTAGCACTACATCTGTCAGTCCACCAAGGGGTGGGGGTGGGGAACCCAATAACCCAACATCATGCCAAGCCATAATGTGGCATGTTTGTTTTTAGCATAGTATACACTGTCAATCCAGTTGCCCAGTTATGTAGGTACTTTTTCCCCTTGATGTCTTCTTTACCAGTTGCTGTAACAGAAATGATAGTTCTAAAGGATAAGATGGATACAGGCAAATTGTGGTAGAAAAAGTATTCACAGTCCTTTACCCACCACTGCTATGCCTATTAGGCCAAAATGGTTTGGGAAAGGAACTTGGAGGAAAAATCAGAGTAAAAACTTTCTTCCTTTTATGATGGACTTCCATGCAGACTGCAGCATCCCAAACTGCACTTCTAAAAAGACTCAGTAACAACTAGCTTGGCTCAAAATCATTACCAGCTGTGAAAAATGGTTATCAAAGTTTACCTGTACAGCAGATGTCCTTAAGTTAGGATAGTAGTAACCTTTCAGTATTACACCTATACAGTTGTATGCAAAAGTTTAGCACCCTTGATCAAACTGTATGTTTCAATGAATCCCTAAGTGAACAGAAGTTAACAGAACCTTTACATAGTAAAAATTAAACACATTTTCTCTGCAAATTTGAATGCATACTTACTATTTATGTGCAGCTGTTAACAGATTCAAAGTAAAACAATGGTGAATATAGCAGGTGCAAAATGTTTGGACACCTTTCCAATCAGTATTTGTAACACCTCCTTTGGAAGAAATAACCACTTCCAATTGTTTCCCGGAGCTACCTAAAGGTCTTTCTATTCATGCCTTTGGAATTTTTTCTCACTCTTCCTTGCAGAATATTTCTAGCTCAGAAATATTCATAGGTCTCCTGCCATGCCCTGCATGATTAAGACCTCTTTATAGATTTTTCAGCAATATTCAAGTCTGGGGATTGTGAAGGACATTCCAAAATCTTTATTATTCTTTCTTGTAAGAACTTAAACTATGGTACTGTTTTCTAAGGCAAATCAATCATGACTTCTCTAGTTCAAATTCAAATCTAAATTCATTGGAGGCAAGAGGTGTGTGTATACCATGCGCATTTACAAACACAATGACCAGCCATATAAACTATTTAAACGTTTATTGGACTGAAAAATGGCAATATACATTTTGAAACTGCTAGAAATTATAGTCCTTTGTACAAGATCTACCTTCACATTTAGAAAACAAACAAAAAACAAAAACAAAAAACCACTCAGACAGCAATTTTTGTCATTATTGAGATAGCTTTGCTCATTGCTACTAGTCATATTCTTGGTATAATATATGTATTGCTGTATACTGAAAGATTATATTGTATATAAGGCATTCGTTGCATAGTTAATGGTGTTTGGAACACTGAGTCTGTCAGACAATGTGAACTGGAGGCAAAGTGGTTGCTAACAAATATCTCAAAGCAGAGTGTCCTTATATGAATGGGATTTGGTTTCAAACTGTACTATATTAGTGAAAATAGATATAGAAATGGAAGCTTACCTTTTAAAATTTAAATATAGTCAAAGCTTCCTGCTGTTTCTTAAATAAGCCCGGGGAGAGGGGAGATTAGGCTAGAGGAAAACATTCCTTAAACCTAAGTGTCCCAAAGAATGATTGACTAAATAATTTCAAGTATTTCCAAATAATTAAGAATTTGTTTTAAAAAGTAACTGGGTTATTATGAAGCTTTCCCTCAAAATATAGGAGAGCAACATAAAAAAAAATCCAATCCATCAAACAGGAAGTGATTATCAGTAAAACATCAAAACTGATGCAATGACAGAACAGTGACATGACATAAAAAATGGATATATCTTTAATCTTATTTAGGAAATGTAAAATTGGTAACCTAAGGGCCATTTTACATTCCAGAGCTCACATTTTAAGATTCTATTCTTGGGAACAGGCTTGAAGTGTCAAGTAAACAAAAACATTAGCTAGTGAGCAATAATGAAGCTCTCTTAATCCTCGCAACTGAAATTAGTCATAAACTGTTATACTAAGACTGCAGTCCTATTTTCTTATTTAGGAGTACATCCCACTAAATTCAATGGGACAAACTTCTGAATAGATGTTTATAGGATTGGTCTATATATCTTTCTTGCATCTTAAGATGTCCTTTTATCCAAGAAGAAAGACTGCTTCTTTTTCAAGAGGTCAGAGTCTCTACCATACAACCAACCTTCCCTCTGTGGGTGGAAGAAACCTTCAAAAGGTTTTATATCTGAAAGTTCTGTCTTCAAATTTATCTAGAAAGTTTTTGGTCCAGGCAGAGTGGTGAAAAGAGGTTAGCTAGCTTGTTCTACTATCTAGATAGGTCCATTGTAATTGACCACTTTTGTCCAGGTTATCTAGATAATCTTTGTTTTGTTTTGGGGAGGCTGCAAATGTGGAGTACTGAACACAACAAAGTGTGCTCGTCCCCCCCAAAAGGTCTTACTTTTACATCCAAGAACAGAACCCTCACAATGTAGTCTGTTAATTTCTCTAGCCATATAATTCTCCAGACCAGACACCCCAACTCTTTTCAGTCTTGATATTACAAGGATTGATTCTGAGGAACTCAGCTTCAGTCAAACAAAAAGTCTTATATTTTGAGGGATAATTTTTCGGTTGTGTTTGGGGTTTTGCCTTTTTTTTTTTTTCTCAAGCCTTTAAAAATGCCAAAGGAAAAGCCTTAGGAAGAGTCTAGGGATAACTTCATATAGTCTTCAGTTCTGCAAAGAGAAACAAGAAGAAAATAAAGAGAATACATTTTAATTGTGTCACCTTGGGTAAGTTATATATTACTAATGCTTTTATTTTTAAATAAGAGAAGAACTCAGTGCAGGGAAGGAGCTTTAAGGAAAGTTTCTAGACCTCTTGAGCACACACAAAATAACATAAGGGTGCCTCAAGCTTTAAGAGGTTACTTCATCATTTGCAGCAGGATAGCCTACGCCCAAGAACACGAGTATCTACAGCACCTCTTGGTTTCCATCAGGAATAGTTCACATTGCTCTCTAGCCCTATAAAGTAAAAACCGGAAAGGATTTCTTGGACGTTTGGGGAAAGGAGAAATACCGAATTGTGTCCCATGCTAACTAACACCTTCTTTAGCAATCCCATGATTTGTTATTCAGACTCATGAACCAAGCCCTATAAAATGATTCCCAAAGGTCACACTTACTGAAGCATCATGATTCAGATGTGCAGGCTTGGCTCAGATATGGGGATTAAATATGGGCTGTTCTATTTGTCAGAAGCCGGTTTCTCTAAGCCCAGAACTGGAACTTGCAATGAAGGGGACTGCCATACTGCATAGCTATCAACAAGCTCCTTTCTGTATTGGAAGCAAACACTTTCCAAAAATGTATCCATTCCAGGAATACTGCCTTCATTTTCAACTGTGTGTTTTTTGTAAGTCAAACCCTGGGTTCATAAATATTAAGAAAACATATGCTTGCTATGGACCACTGTTAAGATGATGTGGACATTTATAAACCATTTATCATAGACTGCTGCTGAAAAGACTATTGACTGTACATAATAGCTACTTCTTAAGTATTAGGCAAAGAGACTACAGCAAGACAGTTTGTATACAAGGTAAATGCTATACTTTTTAAGCTGAAAAAGTCTTACTGCTGCACAAATGTTTTTTTTTTCCTTTAAATTGAGGACATAAAGGCAATATTTATGAATTAATGACCATCTATAATTATCCAGACCCTCTGCAGTTAATGAGATTAAAACATAAGATGGACTATCTGAAGCTCCAGGAACACATGAAGCCTTCAAATCTCTTTTCTACCCACCAGAATTTTCTCTGACTACAGTTGCTAAAAATCTGTAGTTCCTTAATGTTTTGAGGTAGGAAACATGTGGACATGAAAGTGTAAGTTCTAAAATACTTCTTTAAAAATACAGCCAAAAAAAAAAACAAAAACAAACCAGAGACCTAGGGAAAAAAAAGCAAAAAAAGGAAAAAACTCTTAGACTGGTCCACATGGATGACAAGCCAGCCCCCACCTGCTTGGTCTTCTCCTTCTCTTCCCAAGAAGTGCTGCTTCAAGAGACTACGGCTAACTGCTAACTCTTATTTTAACAGACAATGGCTATTAAAAGATGGCCCATCCCAGGGTTCAGGCTATAAGCAATCAGGGATTAGCTCTGTAAGGAAGTGGCCAACAAGCTACTCTTTAATGTGCTGATATGCCTGTGTTTATGCTTTATGTTTCAGTGACAGAAACACTGTACTTTTTTACAGTTACATTCTTCGTGGTCCATTTTGTGAAGTAACTTTGGGGCAAACAGATTGAATAACATCTGGAAGTTCTGTCTGGTCTTATTTCTAGCTGCCCAATTATATGGCAGGTGTCGTCATAACATAATGGCTGTGTTGAAGCTTTTCTATCGCCATCTATCTCAGCTCAAATATTTCTTCCAAATGTTTATAGCATCAGTTGAGAACACAGGCAGCAAGAAGCTTACTGGCTCTCATGTGTTCAGTCAATGACACTGCAGCAGCGTTTCTCAACCTTGGTAACTCTAAGATGTGTGGACTTCAACTCCCAGAAGTCTGGGAGTTGAAGTCCACGCATCTTAGAGTTGTTAAGGCTGAGAAACACTGCACTACAGCAAGTCATTGATATGCCAGGTCAATACCCTAATTCTTTGGGGCAAAGGTACAGAAAATGTTGGAAGCTTGCAGCCATATTTTTTAAAAATTAAGTTTTTCATAGACTACAAGACTTGATGCACTACAAACAACAGTAGCGAAAGCAGCAGAATTCTCTGCCTGGTTTTGGGCTGGGAGAGGGGGAAGATTGTCTTGGATGAGTTAAGCTTATTTCAGATTGAATTTACCATTTCCCCCTATGTTTATTGTTAGTTTACTGCTGAATTTCAACAGCGTGATCTGAAAACCTCCAGGGGTTGCAAAAAAGATGGTTAGGGGAGCATGCATAGCCTGTATTTTACCCACTCCATTTACCATCACTCCAAAATGTTTATTTTTGCTAATACATTATAAACTGCAGTCCATTTAAACCAACGGTTTATGTTTTACCTAAGAAAACCAAGAACTGCCTGGAGTAATTCTTTGCTGTAGATTTGTTTAATTTGATGGAATATTATCTAACTTTTATCATCTCTTTTATGGAGACATACTTGCAAAATACTGGGTCAAAGCTGAGAGCTGACTTTCAGAGAGAGAGCCTCTGGGGTTATAAGTGGAAAGCGAATTCATCCAAACTCCCCTCAAAATTCCATGAATGAGGCAAGATGATAAAACTCTTGCTCATACAGTCCCATGATGGGTGCTAATTTTCACATATTCTGGTAGTTTCCTGGTTTTGGCCCACCTCTTACTGCTTGCTGACAAAGAAGAACTGTACCCACAACATCTAGTAAGTATGCAGACAGAAAATGGCTGACTGTGGCAGGATCAGAAAAACAAAGTATACAAGAATATACTGTGAAGGCTGCAGATAGGCCACAAATAAATAACAAGACTAAGGAGAACTAAAGCTGAGCAGAAATGGAAAAGAATCAAGGGCTCAAAGCAGCTTTTCCTTTCCCTCTGTCTTCTCTTTGGCGGCACACTGCAGTTGTAAAGAAAAAAAGACTTCAGTTCATTGGTCAAAGGACTCTACAATTCCTGTAGAGACCCAGGGAGATGGCCTTGAGGGGAACATTCAGAAGCCATCTCTCTCACACACAAGAAAGGACAGAAGCATTTCTTACGATGTGGGAAAGGACGTAGTATTTGGAAGAAATTCAGGCTGGCTCCTCCTGGACTCATTGAGGTATAAGTGGGAGGGGAGGAAAAACACAATCAGACTTGCAAAATTCTGTTAATATAGCTTATCTCAATAAAGCTGACTTCTAGTCTTCTTGTGGAATCTGTTTCCTGATCTGGACAACCCCAAAAGGCTGAAATCCTCTGTGTAACTGATTTTTTGAAATTCTACATACATGAAAAAAAATCCAAGATCAGTTCTATGCCAGACACATTTAGGAAATGTGTGACAAAAGAGAATCAGATAAAGGCAAATAAACCATCATATTTTTATATGTTAACATGTAAAATTGAATTGTATGGTTTTTAAGAAAACATACTACTGCTTTTGAAAGTAATAGCAATTTTGAAAGCATAGAGCAGTCAGCTACTTTGCTGTCTTGAAAATCTTTTTCATTTGCCAGTAATTTCTCTTTCTATACACTGCTGCTGAATTTTTCACAAGGTGTTTTAGGTGCCCAAAACCAGTAACTACTGGAAAAAACATCTTGCTGCCAGAAAATATCAGGTGGGCCAATTTGTTGATGTTTAGGAGATTATCACTGATCTGCTTTTTATCTCCCACTTCTTTAGTAAATAAAATTATTTTAACAGTTGTTGATAATTAAAGCAGAAGCAGGAATGTGTATTAGGTTATTTTCTCATGTAATAATATCTGCAGCAATATCCAGTTCCTTCTACTGGTTGGCTCATGCCATTGCTAAAGTTGTACAAAATCACAATCCTGACGAAATAACTTATTGAAGCCTTAATGAACCTATGTCTTCCAGAAGTGTTGGGGAATACATGGGATTTCACTACGGCTGGAAGGCACCAAGATGAGGAAGCTGGTTTATGAAATGTGGTCTGGTCTGAAAGTCTTCCATAGGTTAACAGCTTGAATAGCATTAAAACTTAATTTGAAGAGTAACATTCCCTATCCTCATATCCTGTAGAGGACAAGGGCAACAACTGAAATTTGACAACAATGCTTACTGTCCCCAACCTGATTTGTCTGGGAATTAATAGTAATTGTAGTCCAAGACATCCAGAAGCCCCACGCTGGGGAAAGCTATTGTAAAGAAATATTTGGCAATTCTACTGAGTGCACTAAACTCCCCCAAAGTGTCCACAGACTCTTGCTGCTTCTTGCCCAGCCTTAGGTGCTCTATCGTGCTGCAGAAGATGAAATGAAAAAAGGAGCAGAAACTTACCAGCCTCTCTTATCCCAAAGAAGCACCATGCTGGACAGGAAAGCAAAGCTGCTGGTAAAGGAGTGAGAGGAGGAGGAGAAGGCAAGTGGAGAGGAGGCAAATGACAAGAAGAGGTGAAGGTATTCACCATCCCGAGGCAACATATAGACACACAGGGTTTCAGCAAGCAAAAATTATGGGGAAATAAGCAGCAGAAGAGCATGCACTGGAGAGCAGGGTTGGCAGATGCCAAGATCCCCACACCTTTGAAGGCTGGTGTTTGGAAAAAGGGAAGCTGGAAAAATGTTTGGATGCCTTGTTTAACCCTCTGCTCTTTTGGCCTATATAGAGGAGCTATCATGAATTTCCAGTCCAAACTTAAGTATACCATATACACTGATTTGTTGCGAGTAAGAAGACAAATCTGTTTTTTAAAGAAAAGAAGCAGCAGACTCCAAATGGAAAACTCTGCCTCCTCTTGCTGTACCTTCTTGGATTTCAGAAAGGGACTGCGGCCCAATAGCTTTTAATATTTTAAAAATTAAAATAGTAGTTTTTTCATTTATGTGATTTGAGTTTCAGACTGTGGTATCCAATTTGCTGCAAGCTTTTCTCATCACTGAAGCTTAGATGAAAGGCAAGGACAACTGGAAGAGCATCTCTGTCTTATCTTTATCTCACTCCATTCCTCATCTGATAAATTAACGCCTACTGCTAAGCAAGTATTTGTACATTTTCTCCCCCCCAACTAACAGAACATATAATACTGTAACAATCTTCATTCCATATTCCCCGTCTCTGGTGGAATGGGAGTAGGAAAACATAATGACGCATTGTACAAAGGAAGTTCTATCATGCATTATAGAAGGGGAAGAGACCTACATATGCAATTATATTTGCAAGAAGCATCCAAGCAGGATTTGAGGGTGTTAGCCTCTCCCACTGTTATTCCCAGCACCCAGTCTTCAGAGGCACAAATCTCTGATCCTGGAGGTAATATGCAAACATCATAATTAGCAGCCATTGGCCAATTTCTCCTCCATTAATTTCTAATTCTTCCCAAACCTGGAGATGCTTTTATATTATCTTTTGCTCTGGATACCTTGTAATTGGGAGAAACAATTTTCTATACTTAGCACAGATCTATTGCCTTTTGCCTTAACCTTCAAAACAAGCATCAAACTCTCAATGTCTCTCACCTATCGCACTGAAAGAAAGGTGGTGAGAGAAGTTTTACAGCAAAATGACTAAAAGACGTACATATTCAATTTGTAAAAACAGGTTTCCCCTCCTAAACCTGCTGAGTTGTAGTTTTAGCAATGGGTAGACAATTTAAAAGGTAGAGAACCTTCAGTTCTGCAGACATTGCTGAATTACAACTCACAATATGCCACCCATCCCACTCCCATTGCTCACCCTGGGTAGGACTAGTGGAAGTCTTAAATAGTCTTAAATTAAAAAAGCATTTAGAGGGCCACAGGTTCCCCACCCCTCTAGAATAAACCTGTAAAGATCTGCTATTATCTTCTGAAAATAGCAGATCTGTACAGGTTTTATTCTGGACTTCAGTAAGAACTGCAGTTGAGGAGATTTATCTCTCCTCTTGCTCAACAATACTAAACACCTTGTACTAATACCAATTTAATCTTCAAGAATTCCCCAAGAATGCTAGGAAATGTAGGTTTGAGAAATGTTATGAAAGATACAACACACCACTCCAAAACTACATGTCCAAGGATTCCTTGGGAAAGGATTAGTTGCTAAAAACTGGAGGATGTAGGCCCAGATAATGCAAACTAGCAAAAGGGATTTTGTAGGCAATTTCAAATAAGGAAACATGGCTAGTTCTACTGAGAGCATCCCAACACGAGGCCTTCATAGTGTTGTCTTTCAAGGAAAAAAAAAAGCAAAATACAACACAGTAACTAAAAGATTAGAACTGGAGGTATGCAGGAAACCATTGTTTAAGCTTCAAAGCATGCATTAAAAATGGTTTATAAATAAATGCAAAACACAGGTCCTTTTGAAATCAATTGGACATACCAGGCACCGTATTAGCGCTGGAACTGACTTGAATTTAACCCATTTGGAATCCAAGTTTGCCATTTAATGAAGAGGCTTGGGAACTGCAGCTCTTTCCTCCAGTCTAAATACTATTTATAGACTTGACTGAATAGCTGCAGTATCACCAGCCTGAAGCTGGTGCCTCAGAAGGGAGCTATGACTAATCCCCGGAGCCTCTTTGACCGGCTGCTCTTCTTCCCTGTTGTTTTTCTCCCTCTTCGTGCTGCCCGACTCCCGAAGGAGCACAGAGAGCAGCAAAGAGGAAGAGCAGTATCCTTGCTTTCTCTGGAAGATGCTGCAATGGAGGCCCAAGAGAAGAGCTCTGTAAGTGGGCAGAGGCAGCATGTTGAGAAAGCTAGAGAATTTATTTTGATGCCTGTACAACAGGCTAAGGACTATTATTCTCTGGTAACTGCAAAGTCCTCAAGGTGCAGGTTTCAGATTATAAATACCAGAGCAAACATGGGAAACACTGTATCTTGTAATGCAAAATATTAAAGATCTGTAGGACCATCTATAGTGCTCGGCAGATGTTCATTTAAACAAAAGAGATTGAAGCATGTACTTTGGCTGCTTATGACTAATTTGGATGGACAGTTCCTCCAGCCCCCAAATGTAGAGAAGGGCCACTCAGCTCTCGATAATTTAGCTAAGTTGCCCAAAGTTCAGGTTTTCAAATTAGAGGGAGACGTTGCTACTCTTAGCTAAAGACTGTGGGTGAGATAATCGATGGGAAAGGCCAGCAGCATATGTTCCACTAGGCAATGGCCAGTGCACCTCTTTTGTTCCACTGAACTGTGGTGCTCATGGTGAATGAAATGGGGCACAGAAGAGAGGGAGACTAATTCATTAGTTATGAATGGGGAGAAGGGGAGGGGTGCAGGGGGAGGGGGAAACATGGTCAACTTTAGTTTCCAGTCACATTAGCAGAGGTTATAGGTGGAACCACTACTTCTAAGAAGCATCATCTCCTTACCAAAAAGATTTGCAAGAATGTTTGTGGCCGAGGACCTAAGGTACTTGCTACAGGGATGTGAGGTCAGAGGTCAGCTCAATCCTGCAATATAATAAACGCAGCAAAACTGGGTCACATCAAAATGGCAGCAATGCCAGGCAATGCCCAACAGGAAAAAGAAAGCCGGGGGGGGGGTACACACGCAGGGGCATGGGATGAAGAACCAAGGGCTCGAAGGGCGGATGGCATGGCTTTCCTCAGCTGATCCAGTGTAGCTCCTTACCTGAGGGCAACCCTGCCCAAACAAACCTCAAGAAAGGAGGAGGGTTTGGAAAGGCCTGAAATGGAAAACTGCTGATGCCACCACCAGCTCTCCGAGGGAGGGAAAAGAACAAAACAAAAGCTGGGAGAAACAAACACAAGACAGACAGACAAGATCACAGTGACAAGAAACCGAGAAACCGTTAGAAGAAATGCAACAGTCTGCCAGATGCCCATTAGTGCAAGAGGTGAGGGGAGGAGGAGTTTGCAAACAGCTCTGCACAGACCAGGGCAGCAAGCATTAAGTAGGGCAGGTGAATTTGGAAAGTGAATACAGGGCGCAGGAAACATTGGTCAATCGTGTAGCTGCAATCAGGGTCCAGAATGGAAAAGGTTGCTACAAAGCCCTTTCTTTCCTTAAGAAAGAGCTGTCCTATGGAATTACTCAGGTTTTTGTCCGGTCAGATCAGTCTGGATCATCTTTAAATACTTGTGTAAAAGAGACCAGAGAACCCTGCCTAGTTATTGTTGCATTTGTCTCCTCTACATTTGCTCATTTCATTTATTTTACAAGGCCACTCCTAGGACAACCCATTCTGAGTGGCACAGGATTCCTGAGAATGTGCCTGATAAATTAACCTGACTTCTCCAGGGTGGATTTTTTCAGCTCCGTCAGATGCAAACCCTTAATATTTCCAACCAAGATGGAAGTCGGAATACGTTTGGAGGGCACCACGTCAGAGAAGGCTGATCTGCACAATTATCAAAGCAAGCCTGCACAACACATAGTATCTAAAACAGATGCAGCATTTGCAGCTTTGCATTTAGTTCCAAAGGGCTCACGGGGCATCTGCTGGTTGTCTAATGAGATGAACTATGTAATTCAAGGTATAGCAACATTTGGTCAGCTGCCTGTTGTACACAACTGGTACGTCACGTTTTGGCACGTGACAGCATGCTGTGCATGACTAGAAGCTACAGAGCCACAGCATTACCCACATTTATAGCTATAGCCTCTAACGGCCTATTGATGCCAGTCTTCTCAAAGTGCCCAATAGAATCAAGTAAGTACTGTAATCTCATTTCCAGGAAGACAGTATGGGGTCACAACTAGCAAAACTAGATTTGTCAATAGGCAAACTGAGGAGATAAATATAAGTCACACCAATCACAAAGCAAAGATGAATACAGCAGTGGGATAGTTATCTAGAGCCTCTTTTGCCTCCCAGCAATGCATCAGTTAAAAACTAGCTAATAATTCTGGAAATGCTGACATTGGCAACAGTGGAAATGATAGAAGGAGTCCAGCGTATTAGACTCTCAGGAGTACTGAGCATCTGATAATGGAGGAATGGGAAGCAATCTCTGTTCCAGGAACCTTGATTCTTTGGGAGGTGCAGCCTACAATTTGAGTCTTAACAAAATGCATTAAAGGAATGCAACTTCATTTGCACTTTTGGGATTCATACATGTCATGAATGCAAATATGCAATGTACCATGAATGCTGTGATTGCAACGGAAGGAGATAAATAATGGTCTGAGATGGCTCAGAGTATTGATGGTGATATACAATAACCTTATATAAAACGTATACCAAAATGAGCTTTGATTGTTCAGGGATGAATCTCAGCAAATAATCAAAGCTCATGCATTCGTTTCTTTGTTTTGTCACTAAATTAATGTAAAACTCTATTCTAAAGAAACATCTTACTAACAGTATTTGAAGGCATTTCATCAGAACAGGAAATGAGTATCTCTTTGACCAAAGAGGCCATTTTTAAGACAGGCAACGGAGCAGACAAGGTGGCTCCAGGTCTCTTCCTGACCTACAATTCAGTAGATAGCTGTACTTAATACCCATACTTTAGGGAAGACTGTAAGAAATTTTCTTCTTCCACAGATATATCTAGTAAGCATATTGTTTGTCCCCCTCCCCAAATTAGGACTGATAAAAGGATTCTCTGTATATGCACACTGAACATATACACCTTTAAAACCTGCTAAATTCACTTACAGATTCCCTTGATTGTATTCTCTACATGGTTACATAATTGCTTGGCCAGAAAAAGAAGAAAAAAAAAATCCGTACCAGCCAGTATATCTTTGGGGGGGCTAAGAATTAATTTTGCTTGTTCGTGTACATCTTAAATCAAAAACTGGGGAATAGGAGGCACACACGCATTCAGAGCTTGACATTCTTAGTTAAACAGGGTAAACATCGGCATAGGCAGCGTCTCATGCCACAGCACTCCAGGGTTGACAAAAGCTGCGTTGCCTGAAATGCTACACAGCTGTTCAGCAGAAGGAAAAACTCGCCCATTGCATCTGGCCCCTCCTATTACAAGCATGCCGACTCATGCCCCAGATTCACAAGTAGCCCTCCCCAAAATACTAGTGGGGCTCCAAACTCTCCTCCCCAGTTGTCAAAATACTGTAATGTTTAATTTAGGGTATACAATTAAATACACAGGAATAATCATATTATGGCTTTATTTAATGACTTGTATTTAATTTCAATTAACCTTCAATTCAACCAAATTCAGTTCTGCCCTTCATTTACTCAATTTTTTACCATGCCCCTCCCTTTTGGTAGCATGCAACCCCACCCACACCACATTACTCGAAGCATGTGCAGCTTTCTGACCAAAAGAGCTCAGGAGCCACAAAGCAACCAAATTATTTATACTGAAAGCAACCAAATGATGCTGAATTCAGTGGCTCATCTAAGCCTGAACTGAACTATCTGATAAAAAATTATCTCCTTAAATGTTCTATGGAATTTTGTTTGCAGCAGTCACGTAAGGTTTGATTACCTAATATTATTATGATTTCATATGTTTTAGTTATTTCAGCTTTTTCCCCTTATTAGAATATTTTATTCCAATACGTACAATTTTTGTAGATTTAGTAAAATTTTCAGCTAAACTCCAGTAGATGAAAGAGCAACATTTCTGCTATTGTATATCCTAACAAATTAGAAATTCGGTTACTGAAGGAAGGGCTAATAATGCAACAATGGAATTGTTGTTATAAAGAAAGTATTTTTAAAGCAAGGTTCAGGCTTTATGGGGTTGATTAAATTTGCAAGCACATGACCCTCATCTGGTCAGACCGTTAATGGATCAGACCTTGGATCTCTATTAATAAACACATTTTTACCTAGCTCACAGTAAACGTAAGGGAGCAAACTTTGTTGCCTGTATCACTAAGTAACAATACAAGCCAGAATTGCAAAGCCTTTAGCAAAGGGGAACACAGTATTAATCTATTTTTTTAAAACCAATGTCCTAAGCACACACTATCAGTATATACTTATTCCCAGCTGCAGTGTGATGCAATTCCTCTACAGCATTATTCCTAAAAAAATTCTGAGATAGCAAGTAGTTAATTGAGCTTGTTTCTGAGTAGCCAAGTGTCTGAGAGCCAGGAAGTCGTTACAGTTTCTTAATGCTAGACTGAAGTATTTGACCCACATACTTTTTGGCATTTATGGTGTGCAAAAAGGTTTTTTGTAAAATGTTAGAATTGGAACAATTTCTCACTTTTTTATGGGGGACAAGAACCATACTGCCATCACTTTAATGTTCTTGGTAATCATAATAAAGCAGATGAATGACAGCTGCTTAAGATAAGGACCAAGACATGGAACCACAAAACTTATGGGGAACCTAAGTTTAAACCAAACTTGCTTGGTGGTTTTGGCACTGGAACATCCGCTGTAAGTCTTGCTACTTTGAGAAATGCTCTGTGATATGGGAAGCAGCCAACAGATCCATTTCCAAGGTTCTTCACGACTGAGACACCACCTAATAATTAGTCTTTGGTCCTAAGGACAACATACTGGTTCAAATAACTCCTAACTGGGAAAGCTAAATATGCACAAGCCTAGTTATTCCTGATGGGACACTGCATCTTAGAGGAAAGGAGTGTGATCAGAATCTCTAGTTATCCTGTTGAATTGAAAGAAAACCCAACTTACCTTTGCTCCTCTTCAAGTTCTTCTTTGGTCATCATTGTTTTATACTGGTTTCCTCTCAGTTTTCCAGGACTATATTTAAAGGAGAACTTTTCATCTGCTACAAGAGAAAGGGAGAGAAAAGAGCTATGATGAAGTTACACTAACAGATTAAAACATGTCATTTTAAAAATCACATTCTAGTCAATCTGCTTGTTCTCGTCCCTCCTTCCCAGATATGTTCATGTATGTGGTAGAGTCCAGTGTCTGAAAAGAATTGCTGGGTCCTGCCATCTTACCTTGTTATTTTTGTGATTGTGT